TTCCTACTATGGTACTTACATTAAGACTGAAAAGTTTTCGGAAATTCTCATTTAAAATTCGCGCGCTGTATATTTTTCGATATTTTAAGTTTATGTAGTTTGGCAGCACTGTCCTTAATTACTATGCCAAAAATGAGCTCGATCTGTCAGACAGTTCGTTTACGGCAGCTGTTGAAACCAGTTCACCTCAGTAGTGCGTTGCGAAATGTCTTCGACGGTCGTACGACCGTCCTGGAAGGCTTTGTACCACTCATAAACTTGAGTTTTCGATAAAACTGATTCCCCATAAGCCTTTTGTAGCATTCGCAACGATTCTGCACACGAAATTTCGTTCGAAACACAAAATTTGATGCAAACTCTTTGTTCAATATTTTTTTCCATTGTTTTTTTCGCAACGCCCTACTGAGGTGAACTGGTTTCAACAGCTGCCGTAAACGAACTGTCTGACAGATCGCGCTCATTTTTGGCATAGTAATTAAGGACAGTGCTGCCAAACTACATAAACTTAAAATATCGGAAAATATACAGCGCGCGAATTTTAAATGAGAATTTCCGAAAACTTTTCGGTCTTAATGTATGTCATTATAACTTAAATAATAACTTAAACATAGCTTCTTTTAATAAAAAAATTCAAAATTATAATAAAAATAGTTTCATATAAATTTTATATATTAATTTTATATATATATTAATTTAATTAAGTTTAATAATAAATTATATCATTAGGAAAAATTCTGAAGAACGGTGGTTTCATTCAGAATACCTTAAAGCGATGATTTAATAACGGATTTAAATAGAGTCAGCTATTTTGAGCAAAATTTATTACTACTTTATATACGAAATGGCATCAGGGCATGTAGCCAATTGTTGTTGGTGGCTTTCATATAAAAATGTCCGACTTTTAAGCTCCATATAACGAAATAAATTGGTATATTACAAACAGTTAATTATGATTATTAGAACATTTAAGTAAGAGATCACTGATACATTGTGACCGAAAGGTTTTCGGAAATTCTCATTTAAAATTCGCGCGCTGTATATTTTTCGATATTTTAAGTTTATGTAGTTTGCCGACTGTCCTTAATTACTTGCCAAAAATGGAGCGCGATTGTCGGACAGTTCGTTTACGGCAGCTGTTGAAACCAGTTCACCTCAGTAGTGCGTTGCGAAAAAAACAATGGAAAAAAATATTGAACAAAGAGTTTGCATCAAATTTTGTTTTTCGAACGAAATTTCGTGTGCAGAATCGTTGCGAATGCTACAAAAGGCTTATGGGGAATCAGTTTTATCGAAAACTCAAGTTTATGAGTGGTACAAAGCCTTTCAGGACTGTCGTACGACCGTCGAAGACATGCCGCGTTCTGGACGACCTTCGACCTCTACCACCGACGAAAACATTGAAAAGGCAAAGGAAATCGTGTTCAAAAATCCTCATGTGAGTGTTAGAGAGATAGCACGAGAGCTAGGCATCGGTCGTGAGATGGCTCGTTTGATTTTGGTGGACAATTTGTGTATGCGACGTGTCAACGCCCGGCTTGTTCCGATTCACCTCAATTTGTTCAACATTATCAACGATTTTAAGGCCAAACATTCAATAAATACCATCGAACAGCCACCGTATTCACCTGATCTTGCACCGTGTGACTTTTTCCTGTTTCCCAACCTCAAATTACCACTCAGAGGAACGCGTTTTGAATCCATAGAAGACGTAAAACAGAATTCGCAGAGGGAACTCAAAGCCATACCGGAAAGCGCCTATAAAATTTTTTGATGTTGGAGGGAAACGTTGGCATTTGTGTATCGCTTCTAATGGAGCATATTTTGAAGGAGATAAAATAAATATTGATGAAGGTTAAGAATTTTGCGTTTTATTTAAAATTTCCCGAAAACTTTTCGGTCACAATGTATGCAAGATTTAAACAAATTAGTTTCTCCTAAGAAGTTAACTGACGATCTCGTTAAGATGCTCTTTAAAGACAAATGTGTTATGAGAGCGTAGTTCCCAGAAAATTGTTGGTTGGAAGATAATATTAAATGTTTAAATATTCCTATGTCATAGCTTTTAAAATAAATTTTGGAAAATAATGAAACTGCATTATATATGCTTTGTAATTGTTCAGCCACATATTTCTCTAAAATTCTTGGGTAAACTACAGATCTCTTGCTAAAGGCTTAATGTGGTTTTAAACTATTTTAATTTTTTATGAATAATATTAGACGATAAGGTCAAAATAGAGTAAGTCACTTTACTTGGAAGAATACATTAATATAAACATATGAGTACATAGCCAATTTAATTTGGGCATAGCAATAAAGAATAATAAATATATGCACTCAAAAAAATACTTTAGTTGATTTAACCAGATTTTAACTAAATCACACATTAAAATATTCTTACTCGACGCATTATGTTGGTTCAACAATATCACATGTTGGTTTTTATATCATCTTTACCACATGAGTTAAAACATAATAACATTTAAATGGTTAATTATACTATAATAATAAATATTTACGTAGTCACATAGCTACTCATTTTCGAAAAATTTGCTAATAGTGAAATAAATTGGCACATAATTTATATACT